ACGTGTGTGGATGGGTCCGCACCTGCAGTACCACTTTTTCACTCAAAGGTATGCAGGAAAACGGCAGAATAGCGATACCCGTTTGGCATCTCCATACTTCCCACGCTATCCTCAGTGTGCTGCATTTGCGTCGGAATTGAGATCACGTAGTGAAATGCGCACGTCGCGGTAGAAGAACAATCAGAATAGAGAGAGCGCAGACAAGTAGCGCGTTTGGATATGGTCAGGCGTGAGCGGCCGTGCGGTAGCGTGGGCGGAGTTCGGAAACGGTCCCTGGCAACACCTACCTCCAGCTCTTTTCCCATGCAATTTAGAGCGGAGAAAGTGGCACGCTACTGCAGCTGTAGTCCCACTCACCTGAAACATGGCAGGGACCGGGAAGCGCGGTGCCAAGTACACAATTTGTTTTGAAAAATATGCCTATTGTCAGATTTTCCGAAGTCGCAGATGGTGAATAAAATCTGAAGATCATGCTAGAACTTTGAAAGTAGCTCTGCTTTTTGAGGAATTCCTCCGAAAGTCCATACATGTAACCATCTACGTATGAATACCGGCGCGTGAATTGATAACTGAGCCCTGGCTGATCCGTACCCGTAGGTGAAAACGCTTTGGTGGGGTTATCTCTCTTGCAATGAGCTGTATGCTGCTCGAAGAAGTCTCATGTAAGTCGTGCATAGCTCCCCAGTGCCTGTCTTCAAGCCGTTCGATAGATACACCAACACCAGATGATTCGCAGGATCAACATGCACAAACTGGCCACCATATCCTGGATGACCAAAGGTGAATGCACCCTGAAATTCAATAGTGAACTTCTGCACAACTTCGTTGACTTTACTCTGCTTACTGGTACGAGCGGGTTTCGTTCGTAGAAGAATCCATAGCCCTTCCGTACTGGCCAGAGAGTGACCTAAACGTGGAAAAGAATAGAACTTCGTTTATATTGCACAGATCTATGAAGATACGGACCTTTTCGAGATGCCAACTGTCAAGTGTAGGTGAGCTAATCATTTCAAGGGTCCTGTTTGAGAGTATCGATCCATCAAGGGCAAGTGAAAAAAGTCGTGAGAGATCAGGAGCACTCGCTACACCCGTCACTGCCGGCATCGGAAGCGCCAGAACTTCTGGATCGTTGACTGCCACAGTATCCTGAAAAACAGTTGACTTCTCAATTTCCAGTTGAACAAGTACAGCTGTACTTCGGAAATATGGTATTTCTTATCAAGGCAAATCTTTACGAACTTTCCTAGCGCCCGCTGTAGTTTGAAGAACTAACTCTTCCACTTTCAAGTATTTGAGTTGCCAGAGGGATTCCAGAACTGCTCACATTTGAGAGTCCAAGCGAATGAGTTGGAGAGGCAGAAGTGTAAATTTGTTGGAAAGGCTTGGTCCACGCTAGTCGTGTGAGTGGATTCACGCCCCTCGTCCTGCTCGGTGTCGCAGAATGAAGGATCGCACGAGCAGGGGTGGGGGAGGCACCCTCCACACACACGATCAACGTGAAAGAGTGTGCCTCTGTAGACAAACCTCCGTGCTCGGAATACAATACAACATGGAGGATTCCTTCCTTGCCAAGTAGGTTCGACTCGCAGGAGACTGGTTTGGTCCGGTCGTGGGGGTGGAGGTCGGAGAACTGGTACAATGAGACTGCTGAGATGAGTCTTTCTTAAAGGCACGGTCGGCGACAGGTCCCATAATCGTTGGGGATTCCCCAACGGAGAGGGTCGTATTTAGGCGCTGATGAGAGGGGGAGGGGGGAGGAGTCGTATTTGGCTGAGAAGTTTTTTTTTGATTGTTGGTTTTTTCTTACTTCAGGACGCTATAAGAGGGGTCGTGTTTGCTTGTTGTTGGGAGAGAGTCGTATTTGCCTTGTGAAAGAAACTTGCGGCGTTGGAAAGTTTTCTCCGGGTTGTTAACTTTCCGCGGTTTTTTCTTTCACATGTGCTCACCTCCCCCCCCCCCCTGCTCGACAGCGAAATCTTGGGATAAAAAGTAGGACAATCTTCGCGAAATCTGAGATTTGGAATATGTAAGAAAATGGTAGGAGGTGTGGGAAGGGGGGGGGGTCGTATCAAGCCCTCTTTCAGGGAGGGGGGAGTCGTACGGACTCGACCAAAATCCTCAACCAATTATGTGCCCTGGTCTGCGATAAGAAGCATAGGCAGTGGTGTTGAAATACGTAAAGGAAGTTGTCAGGTGACTCGCTGTGAAGAGAAAATGCCAAACGGAACGTCGGAAACGCCTCTAATAGAACACCTCCAGCCTCAAAAAATTGTACGAGCAGAAGGCCAAAAGACCACATGCTGATACAAGGCCAGTCGGCTGATTTCTTGTATTGGACCCTGGCACCCCACAAGGAGGAAGGGGGATCCACTTCGTGCTATTATACTTTTCCGGAAGCATTACTTTTGGCTGGAAGGCGGACTTCAGAGGCAGAGTCTGGAGGCCATTGGTAAAAGGAAGGTTCCAACTTGCAAAAAGCGTACTACACTACCCTTCTCAGACAATCTTTTGCATTTTCATAGGTCATGGCGGACCGTTCCTTTGTTGAAGTTCGCAATGGGTTTTTGCGTTTTCATTCACTGGAAAACCAATTAGCAACCACGTAGTTAAAGAGTTAAGAAAGTTCTCCTTAACATGCAATTGGAAATCTGTCTTCACATAGAAATGGATGCGTATGGGCTGATAAATTGAACATGTAAAATATCATCGGGACTTTCACACTCTCAAACACCTTCCAGAAAGCGCTGGACGAAACCCAACCGTATTTCGAGTGTTTTAAAGAAACTATTCTACACTCACATAATTTATAAGCAGCCACTTTGTGTTATCACGCATCTTCCAGATTATATCGTCCAAACGAGCGTACATTATCCCAAGCATGGCGATCAGTTTGGGGTTTTTGACACAGTCACGTAGAAACTCCCAAAAGGACGGGGTTGTTATGCGAGCCACGCGATGTGCTTCTTCTTTCCGCACGCCGATGTCCACGGAGAGACCTGCAATGGTTGAGTTCATTAGGAAAGGGTTTTATAAAATTACATGTGAGCTCTTGGTGGTCCATCCGGGTGGAATATCACATACAAACGTTTATGAAAACTGAAGCAACAAAATCTAGAAACCTAAATTTTTGCGTGTTCCAGCTATTACAGTTTGTCCCGATGACGTCATTTGCCCTAATGAGACTTGTCAGCGAAAGAAAAGAGGACTGCAGTGCTCAAGGGGTAGCGCCCGCGTTCATTTGATGTTTCTACGCCCTCCCTAGATATCGTAGCTTTGTCGACAAAGGTGGAGGATGTACTAATTTCGCAGCTCAAAAATACGAGAGGATGGCGCCACCCGCTTGTGAAGAGGATGCCGCCCCGCCCACTGGCTGCCATAACTGCTTTGGCTTAGCCTTAAAGGCTGAGCCCGCTTTCAAGAATAATGAGTTATGGAGCTCATATAATACGTGATCCAGTAGTGAAGAAAAAAAGCAGAAAAAATCATGGAAAATGCCCTATATAGAACCCTATGCTGGCCAGGTGGGCGGGGCGGCCGACTCTTCACTAGCGAACGGCGCTATCCTCTCGCCTTTTGAGATGCAAAACTAGTACATAAGCTGTGTTCATACTTTGCGGCAGACCGTGGGCGACAAAGAAAGCATAGATATCGATCTGGCGAACGGCAGCAACC